GAATTTAATATCTGAACTGTTTTAAACGTACCAGGTTGACTACCTGTTACAGCTTTACAGTGTCACTCTCACTCTCATATTGATCATAGTGTTCATTTTCGTTGTTTTGCATCCTTATAAAAAAAGTACATCATATGTGGCAGTGTTCCCGTTTACTGGTAATTACAAGTTTTATACTGATAAAATTAGTCTTGGAGTGGTAATTCATTTGACTGCCAGTCCGTTGAACGGTAAATAAAGTATTTATAAATCTTTGTTGTTGAAGAAAACATGGGCGATATTCATATAAGTATATTTTTCCAACAAAGTCATCTTGTCTGTTACCATCAGGGTTAACATTTTGCTTGACTTCAAGATTAAGTATATACTTGAAGCGACTTAGTCTTGAAATATTCAAAAAGAAGAGAGAAAATTATGACTGAACTTTGTGGGAATGACTTGTAGTGTATGTAGATCTAAGTAAGTTACTTCAGAGGTGACGTAATTGCACTGAACATGATATTGAAGGAATTAAAACCAGGTAATTTTCATACCTTTTTCGTATTTGGCGAAAGTTGGGACTGACAAAAATTAGGGGGGACTGGTAATATTTACAGTTGCCAGTCCCAAAAGCTAGCGGGAACACTGTGGGATCATGTCACATGTGGCCCAATTGGGTAATGACAGGTAACGTACAAACACAAGGTTATGATGATTGCTAAAACTACCCTTGAGAGGGACATGGCGAAAGTTTATCAAGGTCCGTTTTCACTCTTTTAACATGTCGCTGTTACTAGTTCGGTTCATGTTTGATTTCTTCAACTACTACTACTCAGGGATTATCCTGGAATTACCTATGAAAGAAAATCTCCCCTGGTCCAAAAGCAATGAGAATTTTTGGCGTGATGATGAGATTTGGCTAATTTTTAGAGATATATCGTCTTCACACTGTGGAAATTATTTGATTTTTGGTACTTGTAACTCGAATAATGTTGCAATTAATGTTACAAGATTATATGGATATATCCTCGGATATTCTATTTTCGAACATTAATTATTCCACTGCGATTATTGAAAAATATTAGCATCAGTATTAACAAAACATTACATTAGTACATATATCTCTGTTGATTGTCTACTTTAGGAGACATTACACTTATATTTATGTATTTCTGTTCATTGTCGACTTTGTGGGGAATTATTTGTGAGGTCAATTATTGATTGTTGAGGAGGCATGTTTACCACCATCAGCAGTTCATTTCATTGGCATGCAGGAGACAACAATCTGCAGTGATCAAATTTCAACAATGTGTGTTTAGATCATAACTTAATATATTCAAAATGATGGAATAGCAACAGTTTGTTGATAACAAAACACATTATTTCCATTCCAGTGCTTTCGTCATTTTCGCTATCTGTGGTGTGTACCGTATCAGAGACCAGGGTGCCATTGTACAAAAACAACCTTAGCGCTGTAACTGTCGTTAGTTAGTCTGTGGTAAGGTATGTGAGTTACGATCACCTAAGCGCTAAGGTCGCTTTGTACAACGGCACCCGGGGCTGACTGTATCAAATTAAATCTTATCCATATAGACTTTTCAATTAATTAGAAGTGACAGTTCAGTATTTGCACCGGCAGAAATGTCACCGGAAGTTGAAAAGACTGTTGACATTCACAATGTTTATGAATTACAATCGAAAGATTAAGTCACAGTTTTCAAGTCTTATGGACAACTCTAAAAGCAGAAAATTTTACCAGTGATTGCCTTTTTCTCTCTTGATTACTGCACGGATGCACATACATGAACGTCTTTGATTTGTTTAATGACTTGGTGTTGTAGATCATGGAATAGGATTTTTGTGCTACCAAAGGGATAAAAAAATGTTGCGCGCTCCACCATTGTCAGCTTATGCAAAGCTCCATGCAGTGATATAGGAATCAGTTATGCACAGTAAGAGATAGCATGCAGTGTTGTCGAGTGTGCAAATCACCGTTTCAATTGACAATGTTTGACGATTAAATAAACTACCTGTAAGTTTTTTACTGACATTTTTAAGGTCTGGTAGATAATTTTATTCAAGCAGTACGACATTTTCGATTTTTGTAGGTGAAAATGAGAGTGTCAATGTAGATAAAACAACTGAAAGATGTACGCAATTGAATCTTGATGCGATATCTACGACAACTATGCGAGAATATCGCAAAATCGCGGCCTAAGTCAATCCCTGCTACTACTACTAAAGTCAATCCCTGCTGCTACTACTACTACTACTACTACTTATTTATTTATATAGCGCTGAGTATATAGGCTGATCATGGGTGCTTTTACATTATTAATATGCTAGTTAATGGATCATTGGGCACTCGATTTTCGTTCTCTTCTGTGGGGCACTGGAAGGTTAACCATCATTATCTCATCCTACTTTGTACCCATTCAATGCCGGGCGAATAGAGGCATATTTCAAGAACAGTCAGGAGACGGAGAAAGCAAATGTGTTACATCTGCTTCAATGTGGGGCAGGACCCTAGAAGCTATCAGGGGTAAAGCTACCACACGGTCACCCATCCAACTACTCTGTACAACCAACAATGCTTAATTTCACCTGATTTATAACCTGTGCATTGTACATAGGGCAATGAGTGAGTGAGTGAGTGAGTATAGTTTTACGACGCTTATAACAATATTCCAGCAATATCACGGCGAGGGACACCAGAAATGGGCTTCACACATTGTACCCATGTCGGAATCGAACCCGGTTCTTCGGCTAACGAGCGAACGCTTTAACCACTAGGCTACCCGACCGCCCCTCATAGGGCAATGTACTGCCACAGTCTTACTACCATAGAGTACCCTGTTTTTGAACAGCCATATTGATTCTGTTGCGTTAAAATGAGAAGTTTGACTTCATCAAAGCTGCTGACTTGACCGTGCACACATCTGACTTGTCAACACTGAGTTCATGATGGAAAGGTCACAACCTGAAAGCATTATGTTGCCGACTACACCATACAAGGTGAGGTGGGGTGAAATTGGGTTAAACGCTGCTTCCAAGATTATTGCACTTATATAGCGATGTGCATGCACGTGTGTGTGTGGCTGCTTGTACTAGTCCGGACTGATGCCGATTTATAGTGCTAACACACAGATACCATGCCGCAGTTTAACATGAATACCCCACTCAGACACAGTTTACTGTCTCCTAGCCGACCAGTCCTTGTATTAGCCCCTCAATGCCAAGTGCCAGACAGGGTAACAACAAGTACCATCTTTTAACGTCTTTTGGTATGACGCGGCCGGGGATCGGACCCCGGACCTTCCGCTCTCCGGGCGGACGCTCTACCACTAGGCCATGGAGGTGGTCCTACACCATACAAGGCTGTTTATTCCTGTAAACCATGCTAACATGCCAACCAATCAGGCGTCCGATAACAGGCACAATTGTATTGAAGACATCACCTACCGGTAAGTACATGAATTAATGTTTTGATACTTTCATCCCTCAATACCTCCGCAATGTTGTCTTAACCGTTCAAAAAACAGGGTATGTAAGGAGACAAAGACATGCCTTACTTCCAGTACATTACAAATTAGGGTGGTTCAAGGGTTCCTTGAAGTTTTCTGCTTCCATATTATTATCGTAACATTAGGGTTATTACAAGCTATATATTCCAGCTATATGACAGCATTCTTTAAATAATCAAGTCTGGACCATACAATACAGTGACTGACATCACGAACATCAATCTACACAATTGGGAAAAGGTGACACGGAATTAACTAAGTCAGTGAGCCTGACCACATGATCCTATTAGTAACCTTTTACAAGCATGAGTTGCTGAAGACTAATTCTAACCCGCATCTTCACAGGGGACTGTGTGGAGTAATAAGGCTGTGTGTTACCTTGTGAAAAGCTGTTACATGAATTTTACAGACAAAACAGGTATAGCCTTGACTGTTGGAACTCTCATATGGTTCTCAGTAGGGGTGAGTATTGATCTGGACATCACTACTGCGATAACTATTGATACTGAAAGAAACATTGCGATAAATATCTATTGTTCTCAGGGTATCATTTGGACTTTCGGCATCCAACACGTTTCTTGTCAAGCTCGTTGTTTTCTTTAACATAGCCAAAAGACTTCTAAACACTTGATTTTCCACCCAAGTTTGCCACAAACTCCACTTGACTGTCACCCTCCGCCATTTTACTTTAAGAAAGAGCAGTTGCTAAGCATCAAGGGCAGTTATCTCTAGTCTGAACTCGGCTGAGTTTGCGAGCGTGTTTCGGTGACTCAATCGCATGATATGGTAAATACAATCGAAACTATCGATATTCCTTATTGAAATTGATACTATTGACCGGAAACAGATTTAACAAATAGATTTATTGACATTAAGTGCTTACGAATAGCCATATAGCGATTTATGGAGACACCCCTAGTTCTCAGCTACAAACTGCCTAACATCCACAACACCATAATATTGTATACCCATTACTGACAAAATAGTAGTGGCATTTATGAATGTGGTTGAAAATGTTACAGTGATTTGATTTGAGATATAAAAAGAATAAACTGAGAGCAGTTATTATGGTCAATATTTTTTTTATGATTCAAATCTGCCATACAATATGGAATCAGAACAAAAGTTCTTTCACAACGATTTGAACAATTTAAGTTGTGGAAAGCAGTTTGGATGATGGTCTGACCGTCTGTTCATTACAACTGTAATTGAAGAACAATAACTGGAGGATATTCTTGTCATAGATAACTGATATGCATTGAGACTTAAACTACAATACATTTTCAGAGCACTGATTTGAAACAAACCCTAACGTTAGCCAAACTAAATGTCAGTTGTTGTTGTGTATTGTATGTATAACATGATGTATCGACAACCCATAAAAGTGTCTCAAGAGGCAAACCCGTGTCAATATCTTGTCTTATGCACTGAAATAAAAAGTCAAATAATATGCCCTCAATAACTTCCTTCTCAAACTGAAACATGGTGTGCACTCACCTCGCTGATAATTTTACAGCTTTTGCAGGGTCCAATCTGTCCAAATAGGGCCATAATAAGGGCTTCTGAAACTGAGCTGTCCAGGTTGCCTACATATCTATTAAAATACAAACACATGAACAACAACAACAAATCAAGTTTTATTTCTTTTCGATTGTTCTGCAACTCGATTACGAAGCGGAAATAGATTTGACGCCTCTAAAGATAGACAGATTTGAGAGAAAAGATACGGTTTACTTACAGGGTCCTGGGCTGTGACTCTTCACTATGCATCTGGAAAAGAATACAGACCATCAAAATGTGTCAAATGTAGTGAAATAATATTAAATGTTTGAAGAAATAAGCTTACCTGTTTCGACATTATGGCGACTTTACACACGCGATTCGGAAACTGCGCATGAACGGAAGTTGAATTGTGGGAAGGACCGCCAACACGGAAGCGGTTTCAATGTTGTTTTGTCAGCACTATTTATATGAGCGTTACAGCAATAAATATGTGCAAGTGCAGCGGTAATATTAAAGGTGTCCTTCAAAAGTCTATATTCACGATTTCCGAACTGGTGTCCAATGAATCAGACTTGTAACACAGTTGACAGTACTTTTATTGACCAGGGAGAGGGAAATTATCGATCAGACAAAAGATCAAGGATCAGACCAGCCCGCGAAAACTTCAAACGAAGTTCCGGATACGCTTTACCAATGTCGATGCTATCACCACCGAATGCAATGATGACATTTAATACAATTTATCATATTGGATAAAATGTATCGGTTTCAAGAGTTTTTTATATGCTACACCCTAAAGATCTATCTCCGTAAATAAACTTGTAAAATAAATGTTTTATATTATTCTATTATTGAGCAGAGGAAATTATCATAACTATTATTATTATTAAGAAGAAGAGAGATGAACCACCATTTATTTGTTGACATGTAAATAGAAACATGATAGAACTTATTGTATACTTGTAAGTCATTCAGGACAAGGTAGTACAGAGTTTGACCAATATTCCAGCTATGTGACAGAGGTTTGTAAATAGTCAATGCTGGATCATACAATACAGTGATCAACATCATAAGCATCAATCTACTCAATTGGTATACAATGACATAGTCAACAAGCCTGAGCACCCATTCCCATTAATTGCCTCTTACAAGGCTGAAGACCTAATTCTAACCCGAATTTAGTACAGAGAGAAGTGATGGTCCTGCACATCTAGACCTTATTAATACACTTTCTATAAATATGTTGAGGGGTGGTGGTGTCATACACTATAAATATGTTGAGGGGTGGTGGTGAATCTTACGATGGTGATAAACCACACACCCTAATAAATTACCTTTCCCTAAAACCTTTGAGATTGAAGAGGAGTTGTTTAATTCGTGTCTTCCCTTGTCTATCCCTGACCTGATTTCCCATATGTTTGAACCAAAAAATGTCCTGAAAAAAAGAGTTGTGTGTGCCCAAGGAAATATTTTTGATTCTTTCAAAGAAAGGATATGTATGGATTGAAGTAGTTACAGAAAAACTGTTCTGGTCTCCAACAAACATCACAGGCCCCTAAGGTTGTTCAATAGTAATTTTGTTGTTAAGATTGTCAGGGTATGAAACTCCCAAAAATTTCAGACAGACCACAGGACTGGCTAGCTGAAATACTTGCCAGCCCTGACCAAAACCTGCCTGCCCACTATAATCATATGTTTCTCAGGATAATTTAATTAAAAATATGAAAACTGATTGCTTGTAGCATAAGCGCATCGCTAAATGTTAGGTTGTCTAAAAGCTAACGGGGTTTCTTTTTGGTTACATTTTATCATTCATCTTTACATGTGAATTAATGATTATCATCGGGAAATATTTAGAATATTGTCACATATGAAATATAACCCGACCGTCGGGCAGGGGGATTTGAAAATCTGGCAGCCCGAGTTGAAATCAACCCGTCTCGGATGGTCGGGCAGGCAGGTATTTCGAACACTGAGATTGTTGGTTGATTACTCTGGAATAGGTTCCCAGTGTGAGGGAATATTTTTGAATGCATTCAGATCTACTACTCAAGTTAAAGAATACTTGATTTTTAACTATAATTAATCTGTCATGTCTTAACATATTAACTAATGTAGAGACATTACAGTTAAAATTTGGCTGCCTAATGAAATCAAGTCTGGATCAAATGGTAAAGTGGTTGAAAGCATGAGCAATTATCCACTCTAGGTACAATGACACAATTTGTCCCACTGTAACCACCCAAACTCTGTCTCCACACTTGCTCACCGGGTTGTTTGATACTGAAAGTGCAATGTTTGACTTGGGCTGATCCACTTGACATATTAATCTTAGTTCCTGTTTGATCCAGGCAGCTAATTTGAAACTTGGGGTCACTGGTTCCAAGGGAGGGGGGGGCACGGGTGGCCCAGTCGTCTGAGGCGCCGCGATTCGCTGTGCAGAGTTGCGTCCCGAAACGCCACGCCAGAAACCTATGATTGTGGGTTCGAATCCCAGTTCGCCCCAATTATGTTTCTAGGTTTGTCAGCACCATACCCGTGCTCGTGGGTTTCACCGAAGTGGTAAACGTCTGAGACCTGCATCACTTCGGGCTTTCCTCCCACATTAAGCTGACACGCCGTGATATAACTGGAATACTGTTAAAAGCGGCGTTAAACCCAACTCACTCACTCACTCACTCACTCACTCACTCACTCACTCACTCCAAGGGAGGGAGGTTGGAAGGGGTTATACCGTGCCAGTTTGTTGTTCTGTTTTTTCATGCCTGATTTGGGTACAGTTCACTTCCCTTTTCAAAATCCTCGAGGGGGGCACGGGTGGCTCAGTCGTCTAAGGCGCCGCGATTCGCTGTGCAGAGTTGCGTCCCTTGGGCACGCCAGAAACCTATGATTGTGGGTTCGAATCCCGGTTCGCCCCGATTATGTTTCTAGGTTTGTCAGCACCATACCCGTGCTCGTGGGTTTCACCGAAGTGGTAAACATCTGAGACCTGCATCACTCCGGGCTTTCCTCCCACATTAAGCTGACACGCCGCGATATAACTGGAATATTGTTAAAAGCGGCGTAAAACCCAACTCACTCACTCACTCAAAATCCTCGATCTTCCTGTGGCCCCAACTTGTCTTTTTTGTATTTTCATGATCAGTCATTCTTTTCAATAGCTTTTCTGATCTTTGAACATGTGGGCTACAGTAGGCTAATATGTTAAGTGTGCTAGCCCAACAAACACCTTCCTCGACCCGGCCTTCAGGATAGCCAGGTTTGCAAAAGAATTTAAAGGCCATAAATTTGACAGTCTAGCCTTGCATAGGCCTTCTTGAGGTCTTAAAATGCTGTAAATAGGCCTTGAATTTTGCAACCATTGTAACCCAATGTTGAAAATGGATGCTGAAAAAGGATATACTGAGTCCCAAGGGACCTGCAATAATATTCATAGGACCTAAAGCACATCAAGAGTTATTGTGGGTGTCGGTCATTTCATCCATCAATCATGACCACTGTCCACATGATCATTGATTCATTCCAGGCTCTAAAGTAATTATCAAAACGCACAGTACACTACACCATTATATTACTTTACAGGACCCTCATATTGCCTTCATGGACACTTAAAACTAATTAATGGGGTCCCCTTTTGTAGACCTGTGAAGATCCAGGGTAGAATAGGTTTTCAGCAACCCATGCTTGTCATAAAAGGCGACTATCAGGATCAGGTGGTCAGACTCGCTGACTTGGTTGATGCATGTCATCATATCCCAATTGTGTGGATTGATGCTCATGGTATCAATCACTGGATTGTCTGGTCCAGACTCGATTATTTACAGACCGTCGTCATACAGCTAGAATATTGCTGAGTGCGGCGTTAAACAACAAACCAACCCACTTTTGTAAGTTGGGGTAAAGCCGTGGTTACCTATGTTGTTAAATATATTAGTTCTTGTCACTGATAAAGCAAAGTGACGTGCAGCAAATGATCAGTCTGTTTGGAAATAGGTAAGTCAGGTGGACTTGAATATTTGTATATTTTGTTTGAATGTACAACAGGAGCCACGATGACAATGAAATAAAATAAGAATGTCCATTTCAAAGATTTGGGTTTTAATGTTTTATTTGAAAGTTTTTATCATTGCCTTGAAAAGGACTTACATTTGATGTCTTTATGGCCAGACAGGAAGTTAGGACTCTGCCTTCTCTGGACATTCTGAAAAAAATGTGTTGCAGGTCAGAAAAGATTAGATCCTAGCAAATAATACATTGTATATTTTGAAGGGCTGATTGAATAGATGTTTGGTCTTAAACATGAACACACCCACCCCTACACACACTATACATGACACTAGGTTGGATGTTTGACTTACAAGTACACAATCAGTTCTATCATGTTTCTATTTACATGTCAACAAATATATGGTGGTTCATCGATCTTAATAATAATAATAAGAAGAAGAATAGTTATAGTTATGATAATTTCCTATGCACAATAATTGAATCTTTACCATACTCCTGAACATTTGCTAGGGACCAAAATGGTCATCTATAATCAAGTGTGTGGTCCTTAGTAAATGTTGAGTAGCATATTTGAATTTTGGGCTAGGACAAGCACCCTTGACATTTGTGCTCCATTTAAAAGGCTGGTTGCCCCAGTTATCAACCACTGGTTTGGCTGCTCCAGAGTTTAGAGGCATTGGTAACCCAATCATCTAATGCAATGCAATTTGCTGTGCAGAGTTGGGTCCCTTGTGCAACTTGAAACTATATGGTTGTGGGTTCGAGTAAGTAAGTGAGTGAGTTGGGTTTAATGCTGCTTTTAACAGTATTCCAGTTATATCGCGTTGTGTGGGAGGAAAGCCCGAAGTGATGCAGGTCTCCAACTTTTTTTCACTTCTGTGAAACCCACGAGCACTAGTATGGTGCTGACAAACCTAGAAACATAATCGGGGAGAACCAGGATTCGAACCCACAATCATAGGTTTCTGGTGTGCCCAAGGGATGCAGCTCTGCACAGCGAATCCGGTTGTGGGTTCAAATCTTGCTTTGACCTGATTATGTTTCTAGGTTTATCAGCACCATACCTTAGTTCGTGAGTCCCATCAGGCTTTCCTCCCACATTAAGCTGGCAGCTGATATAACTGGAATACTGTTGACTGCCAGATGTGTCCCCACCAGTTTGCATGAGGCGATGCCCTTTAAGTTTGTGAAATGGTAACATCACCAACCCAAGAACCATAGATGAGAATAATGTTGAAATCTTGAACAGGGAGACTATAAGAAAGAATCATGAGGCCTTGCCTTGAAATATTCTACATGGACAGGGGCACGGGTGGCCCAGTCGTCTAAGGCGCCGCAATTTTCTGTGCAGAGTTGCGTCCCTTGGGCACGCCAGAAACATGATTGCGGGGTCGAATCCCGGTTCGTCCC